TGCCATTGCTGTCGTGGTGACCGCTCCGTGTCGGTCCAATCCCAAACAATTGGTGGATGATGTCCAAGAGCTTGAATGACAGCAAACACCTGATCTGTCTGAAAGCAAGTGTGTGGCAGTTCAGGAAAGTGCGAAATCCAGTCTGTCGTGTATCTGAACCAGGTCACACAGTGCAAAGGCGTCCACTGTAGTGTATACAGCATTGGAAACCATGGACTGACAAGGTCTGCGGCAAGACGAGTCTCTGGGTCAAATTTACGACCGGCATGGCTGAGTTCGAAATAACTGTGCAACAGTGCAGGCAAATTGTGATCAACTCTTGGCATGGAGTGGACTTGGACTGCAATGGTCAGGGTTCCAAAGTGTTGGGCTTTGGCCCATTGACATGTCAGAATCGGACACGATCCCCTTTTGAAGTGGGTAATCAAGGCTTGTTCCATGGTGAAAGTGCTATAGCAATGACGACAAATCAAACTACCTGGAAACATGTCCTGGTCGGGGACAAAAGCAAAAGCACCGACATGTGTGGTTTGATGTTCACGACGCAGGTGTCTGATCAAGGCTTTACGACCAATGATTTCAAGATGGATGGGACACTCAAATTGTCTGGGCGCTTCAGGGATCGGTCCTGAGGTCGGAAGACTGAGCATCTGCTGAACCGTTCTGGAGGTCTTCTGTCTTTTGGGCACCTGAGTCAGCGAGGTGGGACCGGCGTCAAACATATCTGGTTCATGATACTCTCGCATATGCTGAAGGAGTCCTGTGGCCGAGAGAAATGCCATGTGACACTGGGTGCACTTGTGCAGACTTGAAGGACCACTAGTCCCATACATGGAGCTCTGGGCAGGGGCTTGAATCAAGTCGACCTGAGCCGCTTGTGGCAAATCTTTCTGAGTCAAATTCGGCTGATTCGGCTGGGGTGTCGATCGATCTGCATCGTTCGAGTTGGCTGGGATGGCATGAATCATAATCGGCATGATTGGGAAGTGAGAGGCATCACATGTCTGTCCTAGCATGACATTGATTTGGAACAATACCCCGCACTGGTGGCGTTGCACGTTGTTGCAGGTTTGTTCGCAGAGGAGACACTGGCCTTTTCCTGAACCAAGTTGTGCTGATCCATGCACTCGGTCCCTGTGCAGGGACTCATATGCCAAGAGCTGTGGATGGGCATCTTTGTAGTGGCCTCTGATGGACCGGGCAGCTATGGCATTGTGACAATATGCACAATGGTGTGCCAACTCACTTGTGAGTGCCTTGTTGAGTATCAAGCCAGATATGCTTTTGTATCTGAGATGCATACGAAGATCTGGGCGTTCACAAATCGGCACGATCGTGTCCTTGGTAGAGTCAAACAGCAAACAGACTCTTTTGTTGATGTGATCCCTTAATCTGTAGAAGTCAGTGAAAGCTTGCAAGCAGTGGCTGCAAGTGGGATGACCTGCTAAAGTGTCTCTGAGAGGTTGGTGGAGATCTTCCGGGAGAGAAGGGATTTGGTGGTATTCCCTTAGGTGGCGTTTGTATGAACCGGCCTGTGTCAACGATCGTCAGCACTCAGGGCATCTGAGAGCCGGTGCCTGAGCATGCAGATGATACCCACCTCAGATGGATCGTCACCTCGCCAAGTGAAGGCCTTGCTGCAATGCATGACATGTCATTTTTGTTCCGGGTGTTTGGTGCTTATGGGCTCCGCATTAATCAGCAAAAGAGTGTGGCTCTCACTCGCCTGGTTGGCAAGTCGTTGAATCAATTTCTCCGACGCTGGACAAGCAGGCCTACAACAGGCCCTGTGCTGCATTTGCCGGACACAAATCTGACAGTACCTCTCGTAAACAAAACAACATATTTAAGTACCATCATAAGCTACAGGACATGGGACGCAGACACGGCTAAACGCAGAATCGTTGCTGCTCAAACATGCTATCGAATTCTCCGCAGGTGACTTCTCGATAGGCATCATGACATCAAAATTAGGATTCGTCTGTATAACCAGTGTATTTTGCCCATTGTTCTTTATGGAGTATTTGAGATGGGTTTGAATTCTCAAAGCAGTCAAGCCATCATTGGCATAATAAATACACATCATAGATCGATGGCCCATGCACCTGTACATCTCACCAGAATTCCGACCAACGAATTCTTCACTTCGTTTGGACTTGACCCACCGTGGAACACACTGCAAAAACACTACAATAGGTTGACTCATGCCTTGAACCACCGACGGGAAATTCTCCGTTGTCCGGCCAAGATGAGGATGTGATTGACAATCCAAGCATGATCATATTGGGCCAATAGGCCCTGCAGGATGAGGTACATACAAAGTGTCCAAAACATGGAGGCGTCTTTAGATCCCTACTTAATGCCGCCGGTTGGCTGGAATCTGCCAACCAACTCCTTATGTGAAACGCAATACTGGTGGGGGGCCAGCCACGAATGCACAAGATTTTGTAGGTCCGGGGAGATATCGAAGGCATGAAGTGCTCTGGAGACCATGGACCTACTGGTGGCGTCGAAGGCTTTTTCCATGTCTAACGAAACTTGGATGCCCCCCCACACACCCTGCTTCGATGGGTCTTTGCAGTGATCCTTGCACAATGCTCTCACTAATCGGCAATGATGAGAGATGGTCAATAGGCAATCCTTAGTTCCCCGGTGTGCCATGTATGCGTACAGTGGCAATTTCCTAAGCGAAGGATAGGTGTGCTGATGGAGCAAACGACAATGGAGACCGGACATGACTTTGTTGATTGGGTGTTGAAGACAAATGGGTATGGGTCTCAATGCTTCAGGCTTATTGGGGGTCTTATTGAGCTTTGGAATGAGATGGAGCCATCCTATCGACCATCATGTGGGTGGAATATATGGGGAGGCAGTCCAGGCTTGACGAATGCATCCAAAAACAATGGGGAACAGTTGTTGCGCAAAATGTCTCCAAACCAGGGCCGGGAATCCATCCGGGGCCAAAGCCTTGGTGGTGGGAAGACGTTCAAGTTCCAGTTGCACATCCGCCTCAGTGAATGGCAGGGTCCGAATTGAGGGGGGATGAGGTAGTGGAGTGTGAACATCCGTGAACAAAATTCGAAAATAGGTGATGAATCTGTCAAGTTCCTGTTCTTGAGACATTGGAGCTCCATAGTAATCAAACATTTGGTGCGACGGAGCTGCTGCTTGGGACACAAGGTACGGATTCTTTTATACCATTCATGCATTTAATTCTGGAGGATAAGCGGCACACTTTCTTGGAGAAAAATCTCAAGTCTATTCTTACGATTGATAAAACTTTGTTTACGAATGAATTTATGCAGCTTATCAAACGTAATGACATGTTTCCAGCTGTCGAACAGTGCTTGAAGTGTGCATGGTTGAGGCCTCATCAACTTTCGACGTGCAAACCACATTTGTGCGCTCATGGATCGTACCTGGGGACAGATCGAACGAGCAACGGGATGTTTTGCAAAATGAATAATACACAGGTCTTTGATTTATTGTTCCACTGACATACATGTATTAATCGCTGTGGATGCAGGCTGATTGGTCACCTGATTAAACATATATTGCATCCTGTTTTCGAAGAGTTGCCAATTCTCGTTCTGGTGCTGAAAATCGTTCCTCAAGCGATGTCGATCGATAAGAACCTGATTGGGAAGACGTCGAGGTAGAGCGAACCATCTAGGTAATGAGAGAACCAATGGGTGATAATGGGGTCCTTCAGTGTTGAAGGTACGTTCGAATTGTATGAGAATCTTAGCATTATGTCTGCTCCCTTGGTGTTGATGAGATCTAAGAAGTATGAAGTCGATACGAATGGAGTGAGTACCGTGTCGAAAGGTGGGGGTCCATTTGCCCCTACAGTGAGGTATACAGAGTTCAAATTCCTAGATCAAATTTTAAAATTCATGCTTATCTGTCTGGGCTACCTAGCCAAAGTTGACATCACGTAAATCAATGGCAGGTGGTGCGGCGTTCATAGGCATATTATAATTACCTGCGATTTATAACATGTAATTCCTTGGGATATATTAAATTATTTCTTTAAGAGATTTCCAAACCAAGGTTCGTTCCTGGAGGAATGTCTTTCTAGGTTTAGTGGTATTCCAAGCTATTTAATAGATATTGAACACGTCATAAATGCGCATCAAATGCAACCTAATGTATTAGAAATGGTATATAAGGAACTACGAACCATACAAAGGGTAGAAATTCGTCCCGTACGACTATGTATTAAATACCAACCAGGTGCAATCCAACATCCATTAAGGGTCCAATCGGTCTCTTAGATCAAAATCATCTCATATGATTAGTTAAAGCACCATGTAACCCATGCATCCAAATAAAGGCTTTTGAGAAGCGTTCCAACAAAACACACGTATAGCCTCAATGGATGGTAGCTATAATAAAATTCTTTTGCAAATCATAATAAATCGATGACAGAATTCATCCATAATCATTTATTTCCATCGGAATAATACCTTCATTGGTTAAAATTCTTTGCCCCTATACTAAATATACCCGTAAGAGAAAGATTTCTTACAAGCTCTTCGAAAGCTATATTTTATGCGTTTATATCGAAATGGGTTTTAAATTTGGTCGGAACCCATTAACGTCCATGCTTCGTATCATGCTTTATCTTCCATATTAGTGTAATAATAATATTTTAATCATAACATAAAATACCTATAACAACCATCATGCCGAACACAAAATAAGCAAGATAAATTCTTCTACCTATGGATTTATATTTTCCGAATTTAAGACCAAAATTACCAAAATTTCTAATCCAAACACGCTCATTCCGAGTAGCTGTTTCAATTCTATGTTTTTTTAGATGTAAACAAGAGGAAAGGATGTGAAGTAGTTGCCTTACTCAAGTGCTCCTTTGAGAAGCAGAGCGCATGTCAGCTGAAACCTTCCCACATGTTTATTTCTCATACAGCTATATACTATTCTTTCACACAACCTAGGCCCTGTTCCACGGGCAGCGCAAAATGTTTTTCTGCAAAGGCCACAACTTCCATCTAGCCTTTGGCTCCCCAGGCGCACTGGACTTCTTAGTCACACAGCACCACTACCCAACTGAAAACAGTATCTACAAACGGGCACGTTTCAAAGGCCGCTCTTGAACTGCAGCGTCTGCTTCTGCGATCGAACTCTTTTGGATCTCTGTCAAAGAGGAATACCAGTCCCACGCAAAGGCTTGAACTCCAAGCAACGCAGCCTCACGGGATCTCAAAGTTGAGCGCTTGTTCCCATCTTTGCTCTGAGGATCGGCAAAGCTCAAACATTTGGACTTCTTGCCCAAATGCAAAAATCCAGTCGGCAAATAGACTTGGACAAAGGGGGAGGCTCCCTGCGGACTGCCGAAGTAGCTCTTGACTCCTGGCGGAAAGCTCCCCTGCGGTCGCCCGCGGGGAACATGCGGCGCATGCGTTCCATCTGCGTCAGCACGAACCTCACAGTGTTGAACTGTGTTTAACAGTTGCACACAAAAGGGAGAAAGAGGTGGAACAATCGAAGGGTATATATATATATATAGTGATATATATAATTATCATTGATAATCTTCACTCGGCAGTCTATAAAGTCATCCCAGTAACGGAAGCAGCATCGGCAGCTGGGTCCTTTCTAGTCTCTCCATCAAGCTCGGCAACACTCTCAGTGGATTTCTTTTCATTGACCGCTGGTTCAACCTGCTGACCATCACCTTCAGCATCGTCAGGTGTTTTCGAACCCAACAAGAAGTCAACAATCTCGTTCATTTCCTCGTCTTCAGACTGCCCCTCTAAGCGGTCTTCTTCCTCACGAAACAACAAATACTTCAAAAAATGTGATTCCCCTCTCCAACTGGCATAAATCAGCGTTCGGTGAAACAGTTTGACGCTTCAAACACAAAGCCCGAATGAGGTCAATGATCAAGTCCCAAACATCGGACCGGGTCATAGTCACTTGACTTAAGGTCACTAGTGAGAGACAGAGGTCTTCCAAAAGCAGCATGCCAAAAACAGTCTGACTCAGACGGTCTTGTGAACAACCAGTTAGACAAAAGGTACTATGTGCGCCGTGGGTGTTGGAAAAACGTCGGCTGTGGGTAGGGATCCGAGAGGTGCCTGCAGACTCGCTTTTGTCTAGCCTTCATGAACCTAAATTGCTCCCTTTTGCGTGTACTTTCATTTTACTCAGGGCAAGATGAAACACGGAGATAACAAGTCCAGTGAAGTTCAGGAGTAGAGAAGGAATGAATAGTGTAGAAATGGGGAATCCGTGAAGGTGTTCCCAGCCAAGGCTAGACATGTAAGTCTTGAATGGCCTTGAAACCCCACTGCCCACCGCCAAGCAAAATGTCTAAACATAGTATTCGGGAAGCGGCGCAAGCCTGAAGCAGCAGGTTGAAACAACGTGGTCAGGGGCGGGTTAAGCATGGCCGCCTCACAAAGAAGGAACATTAAAAGAACTAACAAACATATAAACTATCAGAATCATTACTTATGGTTCTGCTCACAACGTGAATGCCAACAACACTTGGGTGTGTGTATGCTTACCGTAGTGGGGCCGGGAAGTTTGAATAGGTGGTATATGAGTCGAGGGTATGATTGTCAGCTTTGAATTGTGTTGTTGGATTGACTGGACTTCCAGCAATGGGCCCACATCCTGCGCCGTGAGGCAGTAAGCAAGCAGTATCTGTTGGTTGCTGGGCAGACCAAGCAATTGCAATCTTCTACCAAAGACACCAAACCTCACCAAATGCCAAAGGCACCACCAGTGGCCCTCTGCATGCCCCACCAAAGCAATCAGGGATGTGGACGGGTGGGAGTGTGTGGAGGCCAGAGGTTTGGTATGAATCTGGTTTGATTCGGTATGGCCATGAAATTCTGCAAAAGAAGGGCGATCCTGTGGATCTTCTACCCAACGAGGGCACCCTGGGATGTGAGCCATTGCCCTTCCTACAAAATTGGCCCTGTGAATCACAAGATTGGACACGTCATGCACCATTGGCTCATGGCCATCTACAAGGCACAAAGACCAGCCAAAAGCTGCACCTGAACACCTAGTTCTTACACCTACATTTTGACGGGTATGATTCGCAGGTATGATTCGAGGGTATGAATCGCTCAAGTCGAACTTAGAACCACTACATCAGGTACATGCCAACAAAAATACAAACCCACTTTGAAGAAGAGACCTCGGAAGAGCAGCGACATCAATCATTGATCTGCACGACTGCAGAAAACAACATGCGCGATAAGATCTGGACAAAGCACAAGCTGCCTGCTAGAAACTCAAGTTTTCTACAACAATGGATTTGCTAAAAGCGGACAATTGCTCCCACACAACGATGTCCTGATGTTGCAACTCGACTCGCGTGGCGCAAAACTCCATCACTTATTCCCCAAAGTTGCACCGACAAAGATCATGCAAATGTCGGGCCATTACTGAGATATCAAGAATCGCACCAATTAACAAAAGGAGTGCATGACCCAGTAAACGACCCTGTCTTTTGTCATGAGTCCTTGTCCCCCTCAGTGGCATCGTCTTCACATTTCCGCTTGCGCACAACATCGGGAATCATGTCCAGGATGCGCTGGATGAAGTCCTCGCTGCACTCATTCCACCTCAAGAACAGTTCCACTCTGAGCTTGTGCGTCAAGCCACCATGGCCCTTGACCTTGAGGCAGGCGCACAAACGCTGAAGGGTTTGAGCAGCACAAGCCAAGATGCCATCCTCAGTCACAGTGTACGCAACCAGGCTCATCCACTCTCCAGCCTTTTGGAACCCCAATGTCCCACACTGAAGAATCGTAGGCTTGGCTAAGGCAATCTCAACTTCGTCCAATGAGGTCACTGTCATCACGTCTGTGTTGTGAGTGAGCAAGAAAGCATCAGGTGTATTTTTGTCACCAACTAGGCTCACAATGCGAACGTTCCAAGGTCCTGCACGAAGAACTAAATTGATCTGGTCAGAGCCCTTCACACGAATCAAACCCTGCTCGCAGACCAACTTGGACATCCACAGCTTTTGCATTCCGTTCATGGCCGCTGCACGCTTTTGCTCCACATTGCCACTGCATTCATGCCAACAGCACTCCAAGCACTTCATGAGGTCGAGCCTTTGAGTGAGGATGTGTGGTTTCGTGAGACCCGTGGTCTTGGCTTTGGTCAAACCATGACTTGGATTTCCCAAGGTGCGATCAGAGACCCTGGTGGCTGAAAGCACTTGCTGCTGGATCTGCTTTCGGGGAATTGGATGTTGCCATTGATGGTCTTCAATCTGGAAGCTCTTGCAACCACTGTTCCGCACCGAAACGCTCTTCATGGAGATGCAATGGTAGTTGCTTGGATTCTGCCGCTCCTTCTTGGCATGCCTGCGACAAGCATCTCGAAGATCGTTGAAGTACAGTTCACAGCTCAAAGAACTCAAGACCGAGTCTGTGGCATTCGGCTTCTCAGAAGTGATTCCAATAACGCACCGGACTGTATCGAGGAAGGGCTGGGCCTCATCCGATGTCAGGCGCTTCGGGTCAAAGTCAAAGTGCCTCACCACACCAACGTACGAACATAAAGGAGTCGATGACTGGAATCAAACGCAACACGAGTCTGTCCTGAAATCAACATGTAGATAAGCAACAATTGCACTTTATACCAATCATCCTCCACGTTTCTTTAGATGTATATGGCAGGCGGTTGGTCAACTGACAGTTGATTTAAACAACGATGAAAGAAACTTTCCGTATGGGAGCACAATTCGTTATCCAAGACACTCTGCCTTGGACATTGCGTCCCTATAGGCTTGCCACCGGGTGTGCATCAGCGTCTTGCGAATCAAGTCGTTCTCTGCCAGTTGATCAACAAATTCAGTGACAAACTGCCACTCTCTGGCCATATCCTTCAACGTAGATGGCACTGACGTCTTGTCAAGGCATGCAACCAACCTCCACGGGAAAGCAGTATGGTAGCGGTCCAAATCACAAATGCTGGCAAGCACGGACAGCAACAGGTTCCCGTGAAATTGCAAAAGCTCTTGGCTTTCGTCGTCATCAGCACTATCAAGGCCAATGTGGAGCAAGCATTCAGCAGAAACAGATGAACTGATTGTTTGCCTGGCTCACGGCCAGCATCCGCTTTGTGGAAATCACAGAGTGTTCTCTCTAGTTACTAACTTTTTCAGGAGCAAAGAATAATCAATCCATAGTGCTCAGCTAACACTTCCTGGAACAAATCATACCATTGGTGGGACCTTCTCCGACATTGCACCTTTACCTGTCGAGATGCGAAACAAGCTTTTGGCAAGTCCTTCCAGTGGCCAAGTAGACAGCCTGCGCAACCGAAGCCGTGGGTTTCCTTTGCATCTCCATATCCTTGGTCAGCTTACAAAACGTCACATCTAGAGGCCTCGTCCAAAGGACAGCAGCCTAGAGCAGCATACATGGACACCTCTAAATGGTTTCGGGCTCATAGAAAGCCACAAACTACAATCTCATGGTTCTTGTGTTTTCATCTTGATTCCGTGGTTGGTTGGAAGAGTTGGAGTGACAGGAGAGAACAAGAAGTCTGTCGGCGCCCATAGTCATTGGTCCGCAGGCACTGCAGTGGAGAGGCCATGTCTTGTAAGTCCACCCAGCGCCTGCTTGTGCACCTACTAGCTAGCACAACAGGACAGGAAAACAGTTTTCTGCACTGCACATGAAAAGAACAAACTTTTTCACGATGTACCACGACCCGCCAAACTATCCATAAACTGCCAAACATGCCCAGGTTGTGATTCACGACGCTAAGTGGTTTGGCCACAAACCAAGGTTTGCTGACAAATACACAGCCAGCCAGCGCTCTCAACAACAGGAACAGCCCCAACACTACACACACGTGGTCAATTGAAACAACACTTCAGAAAATATCATCAAAGGGACCCCCACACCGACAAACATAACTGTCTGTGAAATAGCGAAAGCAGTAAATTCACGCCTTTCACTTGTCATGACATGTCCTGACCTTTGTTGCCTTTCTTCTCACAAACAACAAAACCCTGGTGGACCTGGTGCGTAAAATCTCTACAAGCCTATGACAAAAGGTAGGCCACAGACCAAGCTTCAGCTTGGCCAAGAAATTGGCGAAATGGCTTGAACACTGCGATGATGCTTCTCACTTTGTTCTGGTTGGAGTCATCCAGGAGCACCTGAACATCATTGATGAACAAACCTCCAAACCCCAGCACTAACCAAAAACATTAGTAGTAACTAGTGCTTGGTTTATTTTTTTACATATGAACAAACGCACATAGAAAGAAACAATATTGAGATAAATCAGCATTAAAGGCACATTCCAAGCATTGAGCCTGTGGGAAAAGGTGTTTTCTGGAGAGTCATCGCTTCCGGCGCCAGCAAGATCCCACGGGTTTTTGCCCTGCATGAACCAAGCATAGGCATGACACATCAGCTCCACATGCCAACGAGAATCCCAACGCTCGCAGTGCTCATGAAACGACATCCATCGAGAGTCTTTGCATTCTGCAGAGAGGATATGGTGACTGCCTCACTCATCAATGAGAGGTCAGTGCAACAGATTCAACATGTTTTTAGTTCGGCCCGCAACCGACTTGCAGTCTTGATGAAGGACTTCGTTCGGGGATCAATTCACGGACAACAAACTCATGGATTGGGCCTAGCGGAATATCAAGTGATTCTCAATTGGCCCGACAGAGAATGAGACATTCTCAATCGGGCCTACCCAGGAATATAAACACAGCCTTCTTTGGTCAGCACACTGGCCAGCGCAGCGCATCAAAAGCATACCAGTTAATTCTATTAATGGCTGAGTGGCGGGCTGCATTCTGCAACACCTCAACCAGTTCATGTCTGCTGAACGTGTCCACAGGCCGGCCACGGTCCCTCGCAACCGCGTGCATGTACATCTCCAGAAGCTCTTCACACTCGCCCTCTCGAACACTCTCCAAAAGCTTCTTGCGAGCGTCGTTCATTTCAGATCCAAATCTGCCACTGCCAAAAGGAGCCCTGGAAAACCTGAACATCTTGGTGCAACGTCTCAAAAGGTCCTTGGCATCCTGACAAGAAGGGTGATTAATCGCTTGCGCAACGCGACGAGACACTCTGTGAAAGATGTCCGGCCAAAACAAGCAATAGAGCCCGTTGTTGGCAAGGTGGAGGAAGCCCAGGAACCCCTGCAAACACAGAAGCACTTGCAGCAGTATTTACATAAAACATAAGCTGTCACATTTACACATGTCATAACAACTGCCCCAAAAAAGATTCTCACACAACACTCTTTGAAGCAAAGCTAGGGCACTTCGGTTCCCTCGTCCGCTGAAAAAATCAGGCGGTAGAAGTCCTCGTGGATAAAAAAGTCGGGGCAGGCTTCGTGGGAATCGAAACTGTACCGGAAGAAAAGCTTCCGGTCATCAGCTACCCCAAACATCTTCGCCTCCTCATCAAGCAACTTCTCCCTCACACCTTGACGACCTGCAGGCTCCAGCAAATTGGGCGGAAGCAATGACTTGAACGACCACTGTGCAGGTAGGCAATGCCTCAGAGAGTTTGCGAACGCTGCCAACAAGCATTTGGTGGCCTGACGATACTGACGCCACTGGAAGCTATTTGCCGGCAACCGCGTCTTCTCCCCCTCAGCAGCCTGGGCATGACACTTGGTAGCCTCAGTGAATGCTGCGATTGCTTGCCTGCATTCTTCTGGGTCGGGCCCAACTGGCATGAGCTGCGTCGGTGCTGCCAGCTGATACCCTCGTATTCGAAGAATCACTGATAGAACCTGAGTGTGGTGTGTACATGTCGTTGCTTCGTCCAGCCAACCTCTGCCCCAAACTTGAGGTGGACAGTTTAAATCAACATGATTGAAGCACAAACACTGGTTGGGAGGTGGAAGTGGGAGTTGAAGCACAGCTAAGAAGCATGCTCTCCACCAACACTAGCGGCATCCATGCAGCAGTTGATGACTTTCAACTTGGCGGACTCAACGTAGGAGTTCATGAACTCGGATGTGGCCTGCAAAGCCCGGGCCACATATTCTGAACTCGTTCTTTGGCTTAGATTCGAGTCCTTGTTGACCACACCCAGGCGCTGAAGCGAAAGCTCACCTTTGCTGCTGACAAAGCCACCGCCCTTGGACTGGAATCGCTCTATCAAAGTCAGCTCGAGGGCCTTCGACCCTCTTCTTCTGGAAGAAGGCAAATAAGGATGGTTTTTTTGCTTCGACAGTAGGGTCTGGACAAGTCGTGCGCATGGCACCTTCGATTGCCAACTGTGCAGCCTGCGCCCACGAGTGGACTAGATGCTTCACTACACGCTTCAGAGCTTCATTCGATACATAGACCTGCTCCAATCTCAATCGGAAGAGAGCCAGCAGGCAGACAACCACGGAGATCTCAGAACCAACTTCTGTCACAAGTTTCTTTTCGAACCTGCAGCGAATATAACACCCCAAGCAATAAAATGTGCAGGGGCCACTCCCTGAACTAGTCTAGCTCCACAACAAAAAAGAAATTTTACTTTCGCTCATTACCAGCCTGGACCAGGGAAGGTTGACTTTCTGCAAGGTGCGCTTCAGCTGTGACACATTCAGCTTGTTGGACACGATCTCCAAGACACAATCGGCCTGCTTGCCCAGGGGATGCAATGTGGTGTTCAAATGAACGAACCCATCCACAAACTCAAGGATAGACAAGCACTGCTTGATGGTTGTCGCTTGCAATGCAGGCGCAAGTAGTATAGAAGCAAGAACTTGAAGTAGGCCCATGCACGTGGTGGCATCCAGCGGCAAAGTGGCACACCCTGAAGAGACACTTCCCTTGTAGGACTGTTTACGCAGAACCTGAAAAAGGCATGCGTGAGTGGAGGTCTCGTCAAAGGAAGCAGTTGTCATCCCTGTTACAGGGGTAATATTGTTACACTGCTACACAAAAGCACTTGAGAATTGCCTGGCCCCACTAAAATAAAAGATACTCATCCATACTCTACAGGTGTTGTCCAGCAGCATGCCGAGACGAAATCCCCCACTCTTCTCCAATCTCTTGCGCAACAGCAGTCCAGTTTTTTGTGTACCACTGAGAGAACGGCGTCCGAAGATTGTACCATTCCGCTGTGCTCAAATAAGATTGGTACCCCTCTGCGCCGTTCTCCACCTGCAGGGAACATTGAAGTTACACGAAAAGGTCAACCTTCAATGTCCTTAGTGCTTGTTTCTCAACCTGTTTTTCTCACGGCCCCACACCTGAATTACTGTCCACACAGTGCCCTCTTGGCAAAGGTAGTAGAACTCGTACTTCTCATTACTAGTGGAGCACGACGTCGTTGACCTCGCACTCGACGAGAGACGTTTGGTTCCCTTCTTGTCAGCAACGTCCTGGTCCACCTGCTCGGACTTGGCGGCAAAGCATGCTGGCACTGGAGCAAAGACCATGTCTTTGCCATGGATCACCTTCAAGCCGTTCAAATGTTCCACGGCATCATCTACTAGTTTGTGGTATTCTGATTCTCCCAGCCCTGACTTGACGGCGAGGAGCTCTGACCATCTCCGCGACACGGCTTTGCGAAACAAAGCTAGGCACTGCAAACGTTTCTCCATATTCACGTCCTCTTCCTGGATCAAAGGAAAGTCCAGCAAAAGGTGTTCTAGCTCCTCTGTCCATTCGGCCTGGGGGCGTCAGAAATGGCAAATGATAGCAAATGTTTGGAAACAAAGAAGGGCTCGGAAACGACGTCATCATGACATGCAATATTGGGAATAATGCTATTCTTTCCCCAGCCTGAGTCCGCAACTTGACTTGAAGTGCATCGCTCGTAGCTTCCCCAGGTGAGGGGCCCTCAGGTTCGTCCCGAGGTTCAGCCACGGCTCACACAAGAAAACAGGGCCAGTCGTCTCCCCGTGACCAGCCACAGTCAGTAAGCAGGTGAACTCGTGACAACACATGTGCACAAGTGTCATGCCCTCAACAGCCGTTGTCACCCTTGAACTTGTGATAGTGCATCTACTTGAACATACCATGGAGCCACGTCTGAAAACATAGATGATGAAAACACGCTCAAGCAGCATCCTCCCGAACATTCCAGTACGTTATCATATTATTTGCTCACGTTAGACACCAGCACGTTATCAGACTATCTGCTCACTCATAACACGTCAGCTTTGTCGTTTTGCCTGGTTTTGAATTAGTCCCAGTCAGAGTCAGAACTCTGCCAATTTGCTGTGCAAATTCACAAGGCCTATCGGCCTGTAATGCACTTTACACAAGAGCAATGTCGTTTTTGGAACTGAATTAATGCCGATCCATCAAAAATGCAAAGCTTGCACACGCAATCGAATGAATGCTGAGCATCACTCCAGCATTCTTCCGGGATGTCTTCGTACCGCACAGGCTCTAGATACACAGAAGGGATGTCTGCACACAGGCTGATATTTGTGAACCGTTCGTCTTCCTTCTGCACGTGGGCACGGCGGGATTTCTTGACTGGCGACTCCGCAATGGGTAAGAGGATGCGCTTCAAAGACGCCATGGTCAAACTGTCTATACTTATACTAAGGACGTCGAATCGTATCTACTTTGTTACCGGAGCACGATGGATGGCTGCAAAAAAGGTGCAACAACAGCATTGAAGACACTGCCAGTACATGCACCACCTACTTATTTTACTTTGTTTCAATTGGTCAAGTTTCACTAAGAGTAAGGTCAATGAAACAAACAAGAACAACGTGCTTCGTGAGAACGATGGGCTTCGTGAGAACGATGGGCTTCGTGAGAACGATGTGCTTCTTGAGAACGTTGTGTTTCGCACACATCCTTCAGCACTGACCTACCTGATGCCTGGCTCCGATGCTGAACTATCCCCCAGATGTTGTTCACAAACTGTTCCATCAACATTGCACGCATGAGAACGCAAATTCTCGTCAGAACGTTCCTGCGCTGAGAATGCAAATGTGGCCTCCAAACCCTCCTCGTCCCAATCCTGCCCATTCGCATCACCCGCGTCAACTCATGCTTTTTTGAGATGAAAACGCCACCAGTACCAAACCAACTGGTTGCCAACTCCTTCTGGGACTGAGAACGATGGTGTTGGTGGGAACGCTGTTTGGGGTGAGAACGCACCTTTACCTACATGCGTCGCAAATTCTCCTTTTTCCCCAGGACCTTCCCCGATGTAAAGATTAGTAGCGTGGCAGGAGTGGCCAAAAGTCTGGCCGGCTTCTGAGCCAGTGTTGACGAACACTGGACGCTCAAACAGCTGAACTGTGCTCAGCAAAAGAAATGGAAAGCAGCTCAATCTGAGCCACTGGGAGACAATGGCACCTCAGGAAGCCCAGGAAGCTCCTCTGTTGGACTCTGGCATTCCCGCGGGACGGGTTCAGGACGCTCAGAACTCTCACGCTGCTTGTGCGTAGCCTTAGGCTTGCCCTTTTTGTTCGGTGCAACAACCTCCGTGTCCTCCTCAAAGCCCTCAAGGCCCAGCTTCTTTCCATACTCTTCCTGCAAACTGAAACCAGAAACAGCACCAAAAGGATACCCGCTTCCCAAATGTTTGCCTACTTTCACCTGACCCTGTAGGAATTCTATGTACAGCAATTATTGAATTATTGATTGATAGAGGGGTCCTACATTCCATTGGTTCCTCCAATAGGTGGCAACTGCATCACGCTGCATTTGAATCACCCGACCCCAGTCCATGTTGCCAGCAATGCGTTCGCACATCTTCTTAGCTGATCGCCGGCCCACCCAGGTCATACAACCCAGAAGCTCCTTTCCCTCGGCGCCAACTGTGGTCTCATCAAGCTCCCAGCCCTCAGCCATTCCAGTCAAGAGCTGTTCCGCATCCTCCTGACAGACATTCAGAGAACCCTGGTAGGGTATCCTGCTTCAGTCAGTGGTATGTATAAGTAGTACTACTCAGTTTGAACACTCCTTCCACCAGTAAGTACTCACCTGAAACCACCTTTCACCTTCTTTCACTAGCGAACCTTGGTACTTCCAATGTTGCCGTGGTACTAGGTTCTGTTGACAGACATTAGAACAATTGAACTTGTCATGTCGTCGTTGGTCATGTTTTTTGACCGAGGCACAAATCCCTCGGCTGCCACAATCTTCTTGAAGAGGTGCTGGTCAGCTTTTGACGCCATGAACCGCTCAATCTCTTCCTTGAAGACATGGAAGCGGTCCTCGCCAGATGACAAGGTACTGCCAAAAAGACTGCTACTTGTCGTCTGAGCCTTCTCCTTCTCCCTCTTGCGGACAGCAAAGCGCCCGCGGAAAAGACCATCGGACTGCAGCGTTACAACATCTTACAGACTGGACATGTTGGGGCAATTGAGCAGTGTTCCAACCACATCAAAAAATGAGGCACACAAGTTTGATCCCAGACTCCCCCGCCTTGTCCGACTCAGAGCTTTCACTGCCTTCGTCGTGCTTTCCACTCCTCCTTCTCGAGGGGGAAGTGCGCTTCCTGGATCGAGACCTATCCTCCGAAGGAGACTCTTCTGAGCGATGTGACCGATGCTCAGATCCATGCTTCAAAGTACGCCGCTTGCAGGGAGAGCGCCCCTTGCGAGAAGACCGGTTGTGGTGAGGAGACTGCCCTTTGCGAGGAGACCGCCCCTTGCGAGGAGACACCCCACTGCGACCCGTGCGATGGAGCCGCTTGTGATCATCCCTCATGTCGTCCCCTGCTGCCGACTTGAAGTTCTGAAGCTGCTGCTTCAGCTTGGCAAGCCACGCAGCAGCGTCAGCAGCCGCCTCATGCGCTGCAACCTCATTGGCAATGGTCCTGCACAGATGGGTGCTGTATAGAGTACAGTAAACTTAAAACATGTAAAGCAAACACACACACACACACATCAGACTATCCTATACTATGGACACAAATCTTGACAGTGAAGGCTGTGCAGTATAGTACAACAACCCAACCACGAAGCCATCACAGGCCTCCTCAAGCTTACCAGGCTGGAGTGTTGACTGATCACGCTCATGTTGTCCAAACCAGCGACTCACAGGGACGTCTTTGGTCTACATTCAATTCAACCATTCACCAACCACAGGAGAGCACCACGCACTAACCCGCCCAGCAAGTTCAACGCAAACAAAACATAAACCGAATGAAGCGTTGCGACGATCACGAAAACTGTGCACTCAACGCTATACACCCGAATATCAGCCCTGCCTTCCTTGAACAGTGACACCAACCGATCCCGCCACCGCTTCTCTGCCCATTGAAGCTTCTGACTCGCAGTGATCCGGGCACGGAGACCTGCTTCACTTCCATCATCATGTGCCTTGAGAGATGTCAGATTCTTCCTGTGTATCTCGACCAATTCGCCACCACAGGTGAATAGACATTGGCTGGTGAGGCAACTGTGAACCTGAGAGAGCACTGAGGCAATCTGGGCAACCTTGAGGTCTGCCAGGCGGGTCATATTCTTCGTGATCTGCAAGCCTTTCGGCTTCCTCACAGCAAATAGGAATATGAGGACACTCAGGAATGGCAAGTTTGCTTTCTTAAACAAAAGCAGCTCCATGGGTGCCAGAAGTGAATATATAGACTATAGACAATCTTGTCTTGTCAGACTTTTACATGATTGATGGACAGGTATAGATCGAACAGGTTTGTAAGAGGCATCATTGCTCTTACCAGCAGCTCAACCCCACATCCCCCCTTTAAGAACAACTGAGCCACAACCCAAACGTTGAAGCAATTTGAGCCACTTCTTTGATCACTGCTGGATCCTCGACGACAATAGACTCCGAAGAAGAGCTGGATGAGCTCTTCTTCTTTTCCTTCTTATCCTTCTTCACCTTAGACTTGGTCTTGGAGTCCTTCGCCTTGTCCTTCACATCCCTCCTGCCTTTACCCATGGCAGAGAACAAAGGCCAAGTCCCGCCTATCTGAGGGCACTGACTATCAGTCCAAAATTGAGTTGCTGCCAACAAAGCAACGACTCGACAACGCACAACACTCGGGACTCCTGGCTGCACCAACACTCGTGCAGCGAGCTCCAAACAAAAGTACTTTAAGTAGGCGAGCAATAGCAGCCCATTGTGAATCCAACAAAGGTTGTGCGCATTCTATGCCGCACTTGTCCAACTGATTGTCTACAGTCTTCCTTTAGTTGAATGAAATTCATGCCAATGCAAAGGAAACTCAAAGACAGCACGAAGGTGTGACCTGCACTTCCGCCACGGTAGATTTGTCTCTCGCATGCTCGGTGAGCTCCACGACAACAGGACTCACAGCTGACAAATGGCCGCTGTTTACATGCCTCCCATGCATTGAACAATAGTTACATATGATTTCACAGGCCATACTCAAGAAGAAACTCAAACCTCTTGAAGGTGGGAAGGCCAGCAGCGAGGCCAACTGCTCTATTTTTGGCAAGACGCACAACCCCTCTGCAGTATATACAGCAGCAGTCTGAGTTCCAACCAAGTACCAAAAAGTAAAGCATTCCGGCCATCAACAGGTTTACACTAAGGTTCATACATACGCTCACATATTTGTTCTGTGGGGTTGTCAAACATGTCTTGTCGAGATAGTGTCCAAATTAGCAACACTCACAACGCTCCAAATTAACAACACTGACTGACAATCAGTGTTCCAAATTACCGACGGCTCGGCTCTCAATTAGCCACAAGGGGATGACCATCCACAAGTAGCCACTGCATAGCTCCTAACACGCGGAAAGAAAAACCTGGCATGTGCTCTCACTCAACTGACACCAGGTAGGCAAACTTCAACTATGTACAGACTGTTCGTATTGTTTCGATCGCTACTGAAGCTGTACCTTTCGACATGCTCTGGCATAGCACACAGCTCTTGCATAGTACACAGTAAACACGTCATGTACAAACTGTCTTTTCAATGGTGCCAAACAAAAAGACATCAGATGTCATAGAGCCAACTTCCAATGTGAAGGAAGTGTTCATGGAACATTCATCCGCTACTGATGCCTTGGCACAGTCCTCCAAGCAAAGGGAAACTGTGCTCGTGCGCTGACTCCTGGAAGTAAGACTTTTGAGTCTTTGCGTTTTGACCTTTATAACTGCCGTCGCTTATTATATATACAGAGTAAACTCTTTTCACACTCGTTCTTTGCAAAGTCACGAAGTGTGCAGACCTCTAATTTTGAATTGTCGTCTAACTGGCTGGCCTGGCTGGTTTTCAAATCAGCTCAAAGGATCCATCTGACTGAGGGTCAGGGGACGGTGTTGCCACACTTGGTCCCGGAGCAGGTGAAGAAGATGGAGATGAAGGTTTCTCATACTTGTTGCAAGCCGGTCCTGGAAGCGGTGATGAGGATGTTCCACGAAACACCTGGTCATCCTGGGAAGAAGTTGCCTCACGTCCGTACTGAAAGAAGGTATACCCTCGCCACTGCTTGTAGTGGTGCTGCCAAGGAAATGGGTAATTGCATTGCCTCCAGTCATCGATGTAGACATGACGCTCCTCCTCTTTGCCAACAGGAAATGCAATGATGACACAGACTTCACCCAGGGATGTAATCTTGCCCGGAAAGCTCCGGTGGAATGGATGCAAACCACGGGATCGAGGTTTCCCGTGGCTTCGCATGATCCACCCATCCATCACATGCCACTTGTCAGTTCCATGTGGTGGAGACATATAGGATGCCTCCTCCCACGGAGCGTCCTTCCGAATCTGCTCAGGCGGCACAGGTGGCATCACGCTTCAAGCAAGGACAACCAAGGAATAGAGCGAGCCTTTCTTGGCTCCTTCGAGCCTTCACAAAAGCTAGCGAGATTCGATCAGATCAACATCAATTACATCATAATCTCACCCCAATCCAGCACTCCACAGCAATCTCTCACACACACAGACACCCTTACCGCCCATCTTCAGTCTGACTACGCGGCGCTAGCTAAACAACGCCAAAGGCTGTCCTCGCTATGGACCACTTCCACAATGCACGTAGGTGCCCGCTAAGCATACTCGAAAAGCCTGCCACAGATGGCCAACCATCAAACTAGAATGAAACAGAAAGAAATTGGTGAAGAAGAAGCAGA